GAAGTAGGCTCGGGAGTAGTGGGGGCGCCCACGGCGGGGGAGCGGGGTGCTCGGGAGAGGGACCCGGTGGCTGTTCTTGGTGTCCGTCTCACCATGCACTGTGCCCCACCCCAGACAATAAGGAATACTGTTTATCTGATATATTCTTCCCACCCTGGCTCCCTCCCTTCCCCTCCCCATCCCTCCTCTGGGCACTGGGGTTGGTTAAATCTCGATTTCCTTTTTGGTTTTATAGTAGTGAAGGTTTAGAAACAGGAAAGCCCACACACTCTTTGGACTTGTCTTCTCTACCTAAACAAACGGCTCGGCAAATAAGGATCTGAAACCTGCTCTCCTCCCTCCGCCCGTCCCTGCTCCCCACCCAACGAAACAAAAACAAACCCATCGTGGCTGTGGAGGCTGCTGCAGGCACACACTGGTGTATAATAGAGAGAGTAAATATATTATTTCACTTGGCATGGTGCTGGCAAAGAACCTCCAGCTGGCACTATTTCATGTAACATGGTCCAATCTTTGCATGTACACACAGAATAAGAAGGATCAATTGGCAAACTCTGGTGCCACCTGGCACAAGCATCTTCTCTCTCTCTGGAACCAAAGAACCAAAAGAATTCTGTACTTTCCAGAAGAAATCCGGCTTCGCTGTTCTAGAGTCTTCAGTGTTTTGCTCTCCTTGCCGCCGGGATCCCGTGGCTTCTCCTAGCAGGGCTCTGTTATTTAGTCTCTTCCCCCTGGTTACAGTTCGCTGTGCAGCTCTGAGAGGGGGGGGAGGGCGCCGGCGTGGAGGTGGTGGCATTGGCAGGGGGGGTGCAGTCCGGGCCATTGGACATGGCCCCCACAGTGGCCTCAGAGTCTACAGGTTTGGAGAGGTCGATGCCATGGATGAGGCGAATCAGCTGTTTTACCTTCTCCAGGGAGCTGTGCATCTCCTTCTGCCGGGCCAGGATGGTGTTCTTCATTTCCATGCATTTCTGCAGCAAATAAGAAGGGCGGTGGCACTGAGCCTGCGGGTTCTCTGGCAGGCCCGGCAGCCTCTCCAGTAAGAGGATCCTCGCTGGCTGGTGTGCAGCCCAGACCTGCTGTGCCCCATGCCAGAGTGGGCACTACTGCCCAAGAGGTGAGACAGAGGGGGCGAGTGACCGGTTTAAAAGCCAACTCTACTTGACACTAGGACTTAAAACCAAAGGTGAACCACCACTATGAAACTACAAAATAAAAGTCATTTTACAAAGTTCCTACGGCTGTGTTGAAGCTGGTTTGGGCAGGTTTCAGTGAGCTTCTGCTGTGCTAACAGGTGCTCATGTGCTCTGGACTGGACTGAGTTGTCCTGGATGGAAAACGAGCCAGGGGTTCCTGGGTTCAACTGGAGAGCCTACTAAAGACCACTCTGTCAGCAAGCCAGAATGTAGAGGCAGGGCCTGGGGCGGGACACCAATGTTTAAGAGAATCAAAAATGTCAGCCAACAGAGCCCCTTCTGCTTGGTCACTTGTAGTCTCTCACTCTTTGGCCCTCAGCCTCCCACACCTGTTGGCTCCTCTTCTAGGCAGGGAAATAGATGTGAAAGTTGCATGCTGCGGGTAGTGTGGTGAGGAGAGGAAAGCAGGTGAATGGGACAGGACACAACCTAGTGCCTTTGAGGGCTGAGGTCACCTCACTCCAACAAGGGGCACCAATTCAACGGAAAAGAGCCTGCTCCTGGCAGGAGGAGCATCCGAATCCGTTGCAAATACGACCTTCCCACCTGGACAGGGCAGCCTGGGCGGTATTTACTTCCAATACTTGTCTCTAGAAACCCCTCTTCCTCAGGCTGGTCAGGAAAATCTGGAAATGCAATCAGCACGGTGTGGGAGAAAGGGTGGGAGGGAGGGGCCACGTGGATGGACCCGCTAGCTCAGGCGACTAGAAAGAATCACACGTGGGGACCTGGCCTGCGTGCCATGTCAGGAAAGGCTCCTCCCAAACCCACAGAGGAAGACATGAGGGCGGTTGCTACAGTGTTATAGCTGCGACTCCGTCTCTTCAGCCTGGAGACCGAAAATCCACTCAGGTCAAAGCCAAGAGGATATTCCAGAGCTTGGCTAAGGCACCACAGACCAAGTGGCCACCTGTACCTCAGAACCAACACTAACTGAAGGCAAACGTTCACCTGCCCAAGTTAACTGTGTTAATAAGCTGAAGGGGCTGAATCAGCCCTTGGGAGCCACATGCACTATAATGTACATGGAAGAGTCTGTATTTCTGTATCCATCACTGAAAGTATGAGGTTTACTTACACTTATAGAATTGCTGAGCTGTTTCACCTTTTGCTCTAGTTGTTCTCTTTCTTGTTTTAAATCTGAACTCCATTTAAGTAACTTCTGTTTCTCTTCTTCTTTTGCTGAAAAGAAAAAAAGGACCTGTTTTTAACAATAAATTCTTTGAAAAGGCCACTATGTTCCCCACGATTGCCAAAGATGATATTTTCCCCAAAGCTCCCCCTGAGCCCCACGGCCGACGCACAGAACCTGCTCACCTGGACTTTCCCTTGTACATGTACAGATACGCTAGAAAACTGTCACTGGCTTGGGCCTGGCTTTACACATACAAAATATACTCATTTTTCGTCCCCAAGAAAGTGCTACACGACCTTCATTTCATTCAGTAGCAAGCTTTTCATTTGTAACTAAATTTCTTTTTGAAAACAAACCAAATACTGCCTTCTAGGATTTTTTTTTTTTTTTAAACAAGGGAATATCACACAAAATGGGGTATGAATAATTCTTTACCTGCTTTGTAGGCAATATAAGAATGAACAATTGCTAAAGTTCCAGGCCATGGAATTGCTTCTTCCTTCTTCAGCATCTGAAAAGATTTTTAGAATTTTACCTTTAGGAGGAGGTATAAATACGCATCCCCTGTGTAATAACAAGCAGTGTAGCTACTGGCAGACAAAATCTAGGAAGGATTATGGTGGCAGGGCTGCAAAACCCTCATCTATAGTTTCTGGATTATAAAGTTCCAGACATCAGCCTGAGAGGATGAGGTACAATGCAGGAAGAGCCAAGCCAATTGAGCCCTGGCTTAGAAAGAGGCTGGGACTTGGCTGGACACTCCTATCTTTTCATATGTGCCACATGACCCCAACTACTCCCCACAGCCAGAACCACCAGCACAAGCTGCAAGTCTGCACAATGGCAGGAACCACTGAGAGTTCTGTCCTTGACCTGACATGGGCTGCTTGTCTCAATTTTTGCTTTTTATGTCCCTCAAAGACAGCCTGACCAAGGAAATTAAATATCTATCAGTTCCAAATACTAAAACATAACCTAGACTCCATGTGTAAAATTATCAGAGGGCCACAAGGCAGTAACTGGAAGAGAACAAAGAACTATCTCAACCACATCAGGGAGACACTAGGAAGAGGACCAAGATTAAAAGGGGAAAACCAGAATTCTCTCAAATCAGGATTCCAAAGAACTGAGCAGGATCCCAAAGTCTGCTCAGTTACTGAGCTTATTTATCTATTATTATACTTTGTCTACTTCCAAAAGAGACTTGAGACTAATTATAATAAAAACATGAAGATATATGGATAACTGAGAAAAAGAAATCAGAAACTAAGCAGAGAAAGAAGGAAGAGGCTGAGATAGTTAATAATACAGTCGTGCGCCACATAATGTTTTGGTAATGACAGATGACCAAATATATGATGGTGTCTTCCTAAGATTATAATGGAGCCGAAAAACTCCTATTGCCTAGTGACATCATAGCTGTTGTAACATCGTAGTGCAACACATCCCTCATGTGTTCATGGTGATGCTGGTGTAAACAAACCTACCCACTGTCAGTTGTATAAAAGTATAGCATATGAAATTATGTACAGTATGTAATATTTGATAATAAAAGACAACATACTGGCTTATGTATTTATTATACTATACTACACTTATTATCATTACTTTACAGCAGTGGTCCCCAACCTTTTTGGCACCAGGGACCGGTGCATCTATGAGAATCTAATGCCTGATGATCTGAGGTGGAGCTGAGGTGGTGATGCTAGTGCTGGGGAGCGGCTGCAAATACAGATGAAGCTTCACTCGCCCGCCTGCTGCTCAAACTCCTGCTATGTGGCCCAGTTCCTAACAGGCCACAGACCAATACTAATCCCCTGCTTTACAGTGTACTCTTTCCACTTATTAAAACAAAAAGTTTGCTGTAAAACAGTATGCTGTATTATGCTGGCAGCAGCTTCATATGCCTTGTGTTTACTGAGTCTTGATGCACCATTTTCTCTTGTGCTGATTTAATCTCATGTTGTTTTGTTCAGTATACTCCTGCACAGGCTTGTAGCCTAGGAGCAACAGGCTACCTCACATAGCCTAGGTGTGCAGCAGGCTAGACCATCTAGGTGTGTGTAAGTGCACTCTATGTTTGTACAACAACAAAATCGCTCAAGGACGCATTGCTCAGAATGCATCCCCATCGTTAAGCAGCACATGACTCTATGTTTGCCTTTCAAGTCCAGGAAATATTAAGATAGCACTTTATAGTTAGTTATCTGATCCTGATGACAACACAGATTACGAGTGAAACTTATTATTTGACTTAAACAATTAACGGAGCACTTTCATTCAAGGATTATATTTTCCAGAGTTTCAAAACCACATACTGGGTTTGGACTATTCTTAAGAGCATGAGGCAGAAAGTCTTAAAGATTTTGAAGGGTCAAGGTAATGAGAAGATAAGGCATTTCAAATAAAGGGAAGCAGTTCGGGTCCTGCCCCATCCGTACACGGAGTCACTGCCTTATAACTGTGACAGAACCTCTGAGTGGATGGATGCTGTGAGGTGAGGGTCAGTGCCGCAGACAGGGCAGAGGTGGCCCGGAGAACCACCAGGAAAGGGAAGAGGCCCCACCATTCCCTAGGTTAGAGGGGAAAGGAAGTCCAGTCCTGTGTGTTGCCTTTCTCCTTGGCCCGCACCCTGCCTGGGCCCCTACGGTACCTGGTCCTGACATCTGGGACAGATCCACATGCCCTTGGGAATTGTTTTCAGAGGCGGGTCTAAGCAGTCTAGATGATACACACGGGAACATGTGTCACACATCAGCAGCTGACCACTTTTTCTGCAAACACTGCAAAAATCCTCATGGATATCACCCTATGAAATTTAGAGGAAAGGTAAGAGAAAGGACAAAAAGATAAAATGTGAATGTTAACATGCACATTCTGGATATGTATAAATGTTTTAGGACAATTAGCTGTGTCCCCTCTAACATGTTACGAGAGGATTCATGGAAGTAGAATTACCAATGGCACAAGCCCCCACCTGCTCCATATGGCAAAGGTTCCCTGGTCAGGGGCAATATTCTTAATTTTAAAGTAGACTTTATAGGAAAGCTCTGCAGTCATCTAAGCCAAAATTAATTTTACAGGTGATAGCTCAGCATTTATTATGTTTTGGCAGAGTCCAACCCACATATCAGAAAGTTTAAAGACATTAAAATCTGTGCATCAAAGTGTCTACAATATTATACAAACAATCCTTATTACCTATCATTTTTGGAAGGAATTTAGAAGGATTGGGAAAGAAAACAGACAAGAAATGGAATTTTACTAAACTCTTGCTCAGGGAGAAAAAAATACAGTCAAAGTTCAAAAGGGAAAAGATTAAGTCAGGATCAAATTAAACTCACATGAGCTTTCTAATATGAAGAATTTAAAAAGCCAAAGCAACAGCTGACAATGTTCTCTCTTAAAACAAGTATTTGGCATTTGCTGTTCAATGGACCATTCTATTCCGGAGGCTTTAGTCCTCCAGATGGGAAAAGAAGAGCAGCCCCAGTGCACTCTGCCTGTCTCCCACACCCCTTCGGTGAGTTCTAGTACTCGGGTAAGCCTGCTGGAGCCCTCTGAACAGAAGGCACGAGCAGAAAAAAAAAGGCAGATCTACTTAAAATTTGCAGAGAAGAAAACTGAAAAAAACAAAAAAACAAAAAAACCCAGAGGTATTAAAGAGGTAGTTTTCAGCAAGTCAATTCCTGGCCTGTTCTCTAAATGGGATTAATGCCGCTGATAAAGACACCAAAGAAGGGAAGACTGAAGGGACGTGTCAGAGGTGAGCTGGCAAAGGCAGTGCCACCACTTGGAGCAGCCCTTTCACTTCCAATGTGCTGTTTCAGATTTGTAGGCTATTCCGCCAAAAAGCCTAATTTAGAAATTCTGCACAGGAAACAATGATACAGACAGCAGTGTTCAATTCTTCCTTTCTATGGTATAACCCCTCAACCACCACAGCTGAAGGAATGTACCTGCCCAGACCTATAATTTCTCTCTCTAGGAAAGTTTCTCTGTAATTCACTAGGGTATCCAGCAGCCTAGAAAACTGGCTGTAAAAAGTTATAAGATAATCAGAATGTGGATGGATTTTAACCTTTCTCAGTAAGAAAATGTTACCTCTGGGCAGTAAAAAAGGTACTCAGTACATGTGAAAAAACACCGCATGATAATGCAGCCCAGCAGCTCAACTTCCAGGCGTTGAAAGAGGTAAGGTTTTATCCCTCGATTAACCATGATTTTCTTCTTTCAATTTGATAATAAAAGACAACATACTGGCTTATGTATTTATTATACTATACTACACTTATTATCATTACTTTACAGCAGTGGTCCCCAACCTTTTTGGCACCAGGGACCGGTGCATCTATGAGACTCTAATGCCTGATGATCTGAGGTGGAGCTGAGGTGGTGATGCTAGTGCTGGGGAGCGGCTGCAAATACAGATGAAGCTTCACTCGCCCGCCTGCTGCTCAAACTCCTGCTATGTGGCCCAGTTCCTAACAGGCCACAGACCAATACTAATCCCCTGCTTTACAGTGTACTCTTTCCACTTATTAAAACAAAAAGTTTGCTGTAAAACAGTATGCTGTATTATGCTGGCAGCAGCTTCATATGCCTTGTGTTTACTGAGTCTTGATGCACCATTTTCTCTTGTGCTGATTTAATCTCATGTTGTTTTGTTCAGTATACTCCTGCACAGGCTTGTAGCCTAGGAGCAACAGGCTACCTCACATAGCCTAGGTGTGCAGCAGGCTAGACCATCTAGGTGTGTGTAAGTGCACTCTATGTTTGTACAACAACAAAATCGCTCAAGGACGCATTGCTCAGAATGCATCCCCATCGTTAAGCAGCACATGACTCTATGTTTGCCTTTCAAGTCCAGGAAATATTAAGATAGCACTTTATAGTTAGTTATCTGATCCTGATGACAACACAGATTACGAGTGAAACTTATTATTTGACTTAAACAATTAACGGAGCACTTTCATTCAAGGATTATATTTTCCAGAGTTTCAAAACCACATACTGGGTTTGGACTATTCTTAAGAGCATGAGGCAGAAAGTCTTAAAGATTTTGAAGGGTCAAGGTAATGAGAAGATAAGGCATTTCAAATAAAGGGAAGCAGTTAGGGTCCTGCCCCATCCGTACACGGAGTCACTGCCTTATAACTGTGACAGAACCTCTGAGTGGATGGATGCTGTGAGGGTCAGTGTTGTGCCGCAGACAGGGCAGAGGTGGCCCGGAGAACCACCAGGAAAGGGAAGAGGCCCCACCATTCCCTAGGTTAGAGGGGAAAGGAAGTCCTGTTGACTGTGTTGCCTTTCTCCTTGGCCCGCACCCTGCCTGGGCCCCTACGGTACCTGGTCCTGACATCTGGGACAGATCCACATGCCCTTGGGAATTGTTTTCAGAGGCGGGTCTAAGCAGTCTAGATGATACACACGGGAACATGTGTCACACATCAGCAGCTGACCACTTTTTCTGCAAACACTGCAAAAATCCTCATGGATATCACCCTATGAAATTTAGAGGAAAGGTAAGAGAAAGGACAAAAAGATAAAATGTGAATGTTAACATGCACATTCTGGATATGTATAAATGTTTTAGGACAATTAGCTGTGTCCCCTCTAACATGTTACGAGAGGATTCATGGAAGTAGAATTACCAATGGCACAAGCCCCCACCTGCCCCATATGGCAAAGGTTCCCTGGTCAGGGGCAATATTCTTAATTTTAAAGTAGACTTTATAGGAAAGCTCTGCAGTCATCTAAGCCAAAATTAATTTTACAGGTGATAGCTCAGCATTTATTATGTTTTGGCAGAGTCCAACCCACATATCAGAAAGTTTAAAGACATTAAAATCTGTGCATCAAAGTGTCTACAATATTATACAAACAATCCTTATTACCTATCATTTTTGGAAGGAATTTAGAAGGATTGGGAAAGAAAACAGACAAGAAATGGAATTTTACTAAACTCTTGCTCAGGGAGAAAAAAATACAGTCAAAGTTCAAAAGGGAAAAGATTAAGTCAGGATCAAATTAAACTCACATGAGCTTTCTAATATGAAGAATTTAAAAAGCCAAAGCAACAGCTGACAATGTTCTCTCTTAAAACAAGTATTTGGCATTTGCTGTTCAATGGACCATTCTATTCCGGAGGCTTTAGTCCTCCAGATGGGAAAAGAAGAGCAGCCCCAGTGCACTCTGCCTGTCTCCCACACCCCTTCGGTGAGTTCTAGTACTCGGGTAAGCCTGCTGGAGCCCTCTGAACAGAAGGCACGAGCAGAAAAAAAAAGGCAGATCTACTTAAAATTTGCAGAGAAGAAAACTGAAAAAAACAAAAAAACAAAAAAACCCAGAGGTATTAAAGAGGTAGTTTTCAGCAAGTCAATTCCTGGCCTGTTCTCTAAATGGGATTAATGCCGCTGATAAAGACACCAAAGAAGGGAAGACTGAAGGGACGTGTCAGAGGTGAGCTGGCAAAGGCAGTGCCACCACTTGGAGCAGCCCTTTCACTTCCAATGTGCTGTTTCAGATTTGTAGGCTATTCCGCCAAAAAGCCTAATTTAGAAATTCTGCACAGGAAACAATGATACAGACAGCAGTGTTCAATTCTTCCTTTCTATGGTATAACCCCTCAACCACCACAGCTGAAGGAATGTACCTGCCCAGACCTATAATTTCTCTCTCTAGGAAAGTTTCTCTGTAATTCACTAGGGTATCCAGCAGCCTAGAAAACTGGCTGTAAAAAGTTATAAGATAATCAGAATGTGGATGGATTTTAACCTTTCTCAGTAAGAAAATGTTACCTCTGGGCAGTAAAAAAGGTACTCAGTACATGTGAAAAAACACCGCATGATAACGCAGCCCAGCAGCTCAACTTCCAGGCGTTGAAAGAGGTAAGGTTTTATCCCTCGATTAACCATGATTTTCTTCTTTCATTCTTAATATCAGGCTGAGGGGTGCTCTTGTCTGCAGAGCTAGCCCTATATTACAAGTCTGCATCTTAATGAAGTTTATAAAAATTTTAGAGTTGCAGACAATGTTTTGCATGATAAAATTATCAGCGATGAAGTAAATGACACAAACTGGGTATCTTATTCAGAGGGATTTGTTGGGTAAAGAGTTCTACTCATTCTCCTTTGCTCCTGAGTAAGGAGATCATCAAAGCAAAGAATAGGTAAAATAAAAATTACTTTCTTTCAAGTTGTGAAAGGAAAGAAAACTTCCTATCCTCTTTACATATCCCATAGCAGCAGTTCTTAACCTTTTTGTTGTCAGGACCACATCACACTCTTAAAATTACTAAAGACCTCAAAGAGCTTTGGTTTATGTGTGTTATATATATTGATATTTACTACATTAAAAGTTTTATAACTTTTTAAATTTTAAATCATTATAGAATTAGAAGTTATAAAAATAGCTTATTGAAAAAATTTAAAACACCAGAACACACAAGTGCACGCTCCATTAGCTGTTAAAGCGATGGCATCATCACTTGTCAGGAAAACTCCACTGTCCACTCGAGAGAATGAGAATGAACATGGAAAAGAATGTTTTAGTATTACCATGAAAGTAGTTTTGATCTTCGAAACTCCCTGAAAATGTCTCAGGGACCCCTCCACACCACACTTGAGAACTACTGCCCATAGAAATAAATATAAAATGATAAGCTATGTATTTCATCCGCACAGAATGGCTTCCTTGCTGAAAGAGAGCAGATAAAGTCCTACAGAGGTGTGGCACCAGGTCAAAAAGCTTGGACTTTGGTGACTGACCAAATTATTACCATAAATCAAATGGTAAGTTAAAAGATAGCTGACCCACAATTCTTTGCTAGGAGCTGAGGATACGTTTTTTATATCGATTTCAACTTTGCTAAAAAAAAAAAAAATCATAACTATGTCAACATATCTTCCCCTTCTCATAGAAATGGTGATGGCAACAAGGTATATCCTAAGGATTAGTGTCTGGCTGGGTCTTGTATTATCACATCCTTCTAGATGGTTATTGATCTCTAGGAAATGCCTGCCTCTCAACTGTTACTGTTTAATTAATATTGTTGGGGCTTCTGCCACCCAGCAGCAAATATACAGAGCCCTATGTGCTGATTTTAATCACTGCCACTGTAGGAATACTGTAAAAGTAGAAGTCAATTATCATTTTTAAAAACTCCATTCCACTAGGCTTAAATTAGGAATTTCTCAATACACTTAGTGGTTCTGGAAAAGCTTCCCCTTATCTTTAGGTTTTTGAAAAGAACAGTGTTTGCATTTTAAGACAAAATCTGGCAGAAGCTTTTAGTTTGTGATTTGATCTGAGTGGATCCTTTTAAGAAAACAGTTTTATAAACTCCCTCAACCAAAAATCACTCACAAAAAAAACAACACTGTTTAGGAAAGAGACGCACATGCAGAACCACAAAGCCATCTGCTGCCCGGCGCCGTGCACCACCCTGGGAGAGAGCCCTACCAAGAGCTAGGAGCTGTCACTGCCTTTGGCAATGCTTCAACTGAGGAAAAGTTGGGACAATCATTAGTGCCAGAAAACAAGGTTTCTAACAGGGACTCCCCGTTGCTAATTAGCAGGTCAGGTAGAAAACAGGAATCAACTACTAATGCCAAAGGTCAGGAAAGCTGGACGAACCGCTCGATCCTTAGAGTGAGCCACCAACTACATCTAAGGAAGGACACCTGCTGGAGAACAGAACTCTTCTATGACCCCAGTCCCCCAAAGATGACACTTTTTTTGTTGTTTCTGGAATTTTAACTCAGGATGTACACATGGTATTCTTCTGCTCTTTAGAGAGGGGTAGACTATTAGAAAATATTAAGAATCTTAAAAGTCATGGGACATTTTACTTGAAGATGATTCTAAAGACAAGCTCTGTAACTCACAAAAGACATGGGACATGCACAAAATGAACCTCTTGGTTTCCCTCCTCAAACCTGCTCCTTTCATCATTTCCAACAAATGGCAGCTTCATCCTTCTAGCTGTTTCAGGCCAAAACTGGATTTACCCTTGACTACTCTTTTTCTCATCCCTCATTATCTAATCCTGCTAGCTTTTCAAAAGAGATGCAGACTCGATCGCTTTTCTCCATCTCTACTTGTATCATCCTATTAGGCCAAGTGAGCATCAGCTCTTGCCTGGATGACCGCATCAGCCTCGTGTCTGGTCTCCCTGCTTCCCTCCTATCCCTTCCACAGTCTCTTCTCCATCTTTCACACACAGCAATCCTTTTAAAATCCAAGTCAATTTTGTAAACACCTTAGAATAATAAATGCAGGCAAGAACCATCAAAGGATGCTAAAACCAATCAGTAACGGTTTGTTGGGGAACTAGATATTTATACAGACTCGAAGCTGTCTCCACCAAAGAAAAAAGGTACCTTTACAAATGGAGAAAGTTGATGGAATCTATTTTAAGAGATGAAAGTTAACATCGCCGACAACAGGACAGACTGACAACACATGCCATGCCTCCTCCTGCGATGCACTGAGAAGGACTCAGCATCTCTTACTTAGTGTTCCTACAAACATGCACAGCTCGAGTCTATTCTTCAGGAAACAATTAGGTCATCCAAATGGAGGATACTCTACACAGTGACTGGCCTATCTTTTTTAAAAGGTCAATGTCATGAAAGACAAAGAAAGGCCGAGAAACTGTTCAAAGTAAGGAGACTAGAGACAATGTGATGACAATAAATGTCAAGAGTGATCTTGGATTAGATTCTGGAGTGGGAAAAATAAAGTGCTGCTAAGGCAATACCTGAGACAACTGGAGAAATCTAAATATAAACTGTGTATTATATAATATTTTATCAATGTTAAATTTCCTCAATTTGATAACTGCATTGTAGCTATATCAGAGAATATCTTTAGTCTTAGGAGATATAAACCGAAGTCTTTTGGGTGAAGATTCTGCAATTTCTTAAGTAGTTCAGCAAAGCGTGCGTGCGTGTGTGTGTGTGTGTGTAGGGTGGAGAAGCATACGTGGTAAAATGGTTACTGATGAATCTAGGTGATGGGTATACATTTGTTCGTTGTATTGTTATTATAACTTCTTCATAAGTTTGACAATTTTCAAAACAGTCAAAAAGTTACATCACTCTTCTACTCAAAACCCTCTGGTGTGTTCTCATTTCACTTAAGAGTAAAAGCCACAAGGCCCTGCACTACCCAAGGCCCTGTCACCTCCAGGATTTTACCCCCGGCCACTCTTGCCTGCTCACTGCCCTAGCATCCTGGCCTTCTTGCTTTTCTTCCATGCTATGTGCATTTCTACCTCACGGCTTTTGCACTATTGTTCCCTCTGCATGGAATGCTCTTGCCCCCACATATTCCTCTTCCTATCAGAGAGGCTTTCTCTCACCACTTTTGGTAGAAGAGCAGCCTCCTGCCATAACTCCTTATGCCCCTTATTCTGTCCCACTGGTTTTCACAGCACTTATCACTACCTGACATATTATATGTTCATTTGCTTATCGCCAGCCTCTGGCCAAGCAGTATGAGCTCCTTGAGGACAGGGAGTTGGTTTTGTTCCCTCTTTTGTCCCTAGCCTTAAGAACAGTACTTGCTCAGCAGAGTAGCACTCAGTGAGTGTTTGTTGAGTGAACTCCCTGCTTTGTAAATACTCATTTAAAAACTTAGGGCACTAGTTTACACTCCTGCAGTTTCTGGGCGAAGGACTACTAAGTATCCGACACTTTTTCAGGAATCTGTTTCTGACCAACTATGCCGAATATAGCTGCTTTAAAGAAAAGTTTTCCACTTCTTGAATTCTACTTGAAGCAGGAAACAAGAACTGCTGCGGGAAGGTACACCTTGTTCATTTCCCCACCTCCAAAACACCGATGACAGAAACCTGCACACCTTCCAATTATATGAGCTGACTCCCCACCACGTCCCCTGCCTGAGAACTCATTCACCGCGGATCAAATCCAGACTCTGAAAACTCTGACGGAGCCTTCTGATGTTGTGAGCCTCAAGGACACAGCAGGACCTGGGGCCCGAGCAGAAAGCTGCTTTACTGGCATAAAGTGTCCTGTAGGGATTACTGCTGTTCCAGGGTTAGTCAAGGAGATGCAGCTGGTAAGGAGACAACACAGGATAACGGTTTTCCCGATTTAAACTCTCAGAAAGAGAGTGAGCTTTTCCCAAGTTACTTACGTCTGTGGAGGTGGGGCTGGGCAGGGACACAGGCTGAACAGGTGCAGGGAAAGTGAATGTGGTCTCTGTCTTTTCATTTTCAGGGGACTCAGGATGACTGGATGGGGGGGATGTTGGGGTAAGGGCTCCAAACCCCAGCACTGCATTGTATTTTGGAGGACGACCTATATACCAAGAGAAGGGAACAAAAGGGAAAAAAGGGGGAGGGAAAGAAAGGGGGAAAAATGATCTTACATACCTTTGGCCAGTGTTCCTCATTGGCTAGCATGGAAAAGGAAGTGAGGTAGCAGACAGAAGGTTAATACAACAGTCCCAAAGAGAGAAAGAGAAGCAAAGATTTAAATGTCATTAGAAACAACTTCATGAGTCTCAAAAGAAGGGAGGAAAAGAGAGCCTTGGAGAACGACAGGAAGTGCTGGGTCATGTTACAGGGCCTTGCCTTGGTCACAAAACAGTGACATTCCTGGACTATTACAATTTGAGATTTCTAATGCGAGAACCAAAGCTCACTGGGAGTCAAGGCCAGGTATAAGAATTGATTTTATTTTTCCATATCTTTTGCGTATTTGCTCTCTAATGTTTCTCTGCAACCATCATTCTCACAATAACATTAATGATTCTCAGTTCCTGCAAACAGATTTATGATTTTTTTCTGCTTTTCCTTTTCTCTTCTGCCTGTATTTTGGTCATTTCACTGCCTGGGAGGGTGGAGAAAGGCAAAGCAAGGAGACGAAATTCAAGTTAACTATTCTTACCCCTTGCTAGTAGAGCTAGTGAGAGATACATATTCTGGGAGTAGCTGGAACCTAGGGGTAAGATGTCCTGGGCTTAAACATGAATGTAAGTGGGTCTGGACTCAGGTGCTCTGTCTCCCTGCTTTCTATCACAAACATTTTGGTGAGCAACAAGTCTAAGAACTGGGGCTATTCCAAAGTCTTAGGAAAGGCCGTCACTAGCAACACTGCTAACTCTGCGAGACATGATTTGAGCAAGAGCATTCTGAATCAAACTTCATGGCTACAGAGGATCTATAAGTGAGCCCTAAAGGGTGTGGAAAGCCCAGGCCAACCACTCTTGCCAGACATGTCTAAGTCAGGGTCCTTGTCTTCTATGGGCCAGGGTCATAGCTTCTGAGCTATGCGTGAACAAAAATGTAAGCCTAGACCCCAAAGGAAAAAGAGAAGTACATAACTGCCTACGAGCACTGGTAGATGGTACGAGCATCATGACTTTGCCAACAGTTATAATTTCTATCAAAATTATGCACAGGAGGCCTGATTGTCAGACATTACACAAACATTACATTACCTATTTGTGTTAAACTGGCAATGTTTGCGGTACAAAGACAGAGCATACTGGTTTGTCTTTTCTAGGGAATTTAGTGCTCTGAGAAGGAGAAGTGGAAGATGAATGCTCTTTGTTCACGCACAGAAGGTATATCCTAGGCATTGCAAATGCAGGCTTTTATCTCCTGACCTTGGCAAGAGATGCCAAGGTCTTTCTGGCTCATTTACCCCTGTCCTCTTATCAGATACTGCCCATCAGCAGGCCAATTAACTGTGGCTTCTGGCTGGGGGCTCCTTTCTGAGAACTGTGTCAGAGGTCACTAAAAATCACCAAAAATAAAACAACAAAAAATAACCCATAACATTGATTATTGTGGCCCAAGAACTGATATCAAGCAATGACTTAGGGTTTCCTATCTGAGTATATTTGACTATTTGAATGATGAGGCTGATGCAACATGAGAATGGGTCACTAAGGGTGGGTATGCTACCTCTTTGCGGGAGGAGGTAGTCATGGTACAGTTGCAAGCTCTCCCTAAGGCAGACAAAGGGTCGAGATGACCTCCTAAGCTTCCAATAGCTCTGAGATTGTGTGTGCACACGCAAAAATTAGTATGCTACTCCACTCACTCTGCAACCTTTCTAGCCTGGAACTATAATTCAGGGACACATTATCATGTGGAGAAAGGGACCTTGGGATGTATTACTGACATCAAAGAACAATTTCAGAACCTTGTTTATGAGCTCAAATTCTGAGCTATTAAGACCTATTTAGACCTGCACAGTGAGAGCTGTTGCTGCTGTCATCTTTGGCCTGCCCTGGGGAGGTCTGAAAAACGGGGATGGAGCTCTTTAGGAATTTCTGCTTTCGGGAGCCTGATTTGACAGTGACCTTTTCTTCCTCAGCTGGAGATGCACTCTTTTCATAGATTCTAAGTTCTGGGTGTGGCTACCTCTCTCCTTCCTGGAGAGTCTGCAGCTCACAGAAACTTGAGAGTTATGCTCTCGTCTTACTGGCAGCAAGACAACTTAGACACTACTAAGAACACCTTGGCAACAGCGGTGCTCTGTCTGCTCAAGGATGCTAAAATGCTTCCTTTTACACTGTGTGTGCTGTTCACTGTGCTATTCACAGACGGTCTGGTGGGCCCGGGGCAGAGACGCTGCATTAAGCCATTCCCTTGAGTCAGCTTAGCTAGATTTCCAGGAAAGGCAGCTTTTGATTCAGTATACACAACTCTAAAAAGAAATATTGCTCTCTTTTTCCCTCATTCTCAGAGACTAACAACAACAAAACTATTTTCAAGGGATATAGGAGTCAGGCTCTAGGACAATGGGAGGAGGGACAGGGAAGAAACACAACACAGAAAGCAAAAGCAACAGCGAGGGAGAGATATAAAAAGGTACTCACCTCTCTTCCGGGTCCCCGGATGCATTGTACTGTTCAGGTATGTGACTGCACTCTTCTTACGCTTTGAAGTGTGAAGAAGGAAAGGTGATTGGTTGAATAGCATGGTTACCACTAATACTGGCAAAAGTTAAAGACCAAGCCACAGCACGCCTGTCAACATGCCAACTAGTTAGTGTTAGTCACCCCAAAATCTCAGTGCTAACGTGTTTTATTATATGTACTTGGCTCCGAGAATATTCCAGAGAGATCTGCCTCTGTTTCAGATGACAGCTATGTTGAAGCCAGGATGAATTAAATTTTTTAAGGCAGGTTTGTATCAAACTTAGGAAAAAACTAAGGGGAAAGCAGTGAATAATAAAAATGAAATAATGGAATCAACCAGAGGAAAATCCATCATTTCACAAAGTTGGCCAAGAACAACCAGGGTACTGCTCTTAAGCGGGTTTTCAAATGGGAGGTGCCGAACAAGTCATAAATAGAACTGGAAGGGCCAAGCGCTGGCCAGGAGTACCTCTGGCTCGAAGACCGCTCCACTGTACACCGGATTTGCTGTAGTTCTTCTTTTTCGCTCTTGCCTCTTGCTTTGGATTTCTTGGGAAAGCAAAAGGTCTGAATTAGAAGAGAGGTATGGAGACCCTCAAAAACTTCATTTCATTGTTTTAACTATTAGTTTCCACATGAGAAATTAGAAATGGGGGCCAGTCTCTTTGTTGCACTGCAGCCTCAGCAGAGACAAGCACGTTGCTGGAAGCAAATACATAGGATGATCCACTCTCACCTCAGAAAGCAGGATCATGCTGTCCCACAGTGTGGCTCTCTGTGATTGACAGCTTATTGGTAGACAACACTTGTAAACAAGCTGTCTTGATTTATTTTTAGATCATTGTAATATAGGTATGGATGAACTTACTTTATCCATAACCATGGTTCATCATTCTTGAATTAAATAACCAAGACAATATAGCTTTGTAACTGTTCTTAAGATTCTGATAACCTAGAGTGATTGAAAAATATAGACAAATACTTGTCAGAGGGACATTTGCTACTTCATGCTGTCAGGGGAAAAAAAAAAAGTTCCCCTAAGTGAACAGAAGTCACCTTAGGCCAGGCACTTGGGTGGCTTCCCTAGCACAGTGGAAGGGGAGGGAGGGACTGAACATTACAAAGAGGGAAAGTAATTTTTACTCTAAAGGAAATAAAGTCCACATTGATTGAATTACATGTACTTGTGTTCCAGCTTCCTATTCTAGCAATACAGTCAAACACCATTTTCAAGAGCAAAGCTCTGGACCAGAGGCAAAGCATATTCATGAATATCTTCTCTTACCTTCTAGATGGTCATGTGTCACCAACCCCAGAGACACCATGAAAGCAAGTTTCTGTGCCAGAGAAACAGAAGAAGAATCTACTTCAGTTTGGGTTCTCACAGAGCCAATCGCATGTTCCTAGTTAGAGTCCTGGGGAAAGCCAGCCCAACAGGCTAGTCACCTGAAGGAGGCCAGGTTCAGGTGAACAAACAGCAGGGTGCCCTCCACTCTTAGCAGCTATGGAGCCACCTGTAGCTTTCTTGTCTTACAAGGACCAAAAGAGAAGGACTAGGGCCTACATCTACATTCTCAATGACAGAAATCAGCATCTTGAGTGACCCAAATTTGTTTGTTTCAGAAAAATCCTCTTAGAGGGAATAGGATTTCATATTTGAAAAACATGCAGAGCATCTCACACAAGCTCCAGATTTATCTAAGTACTTCACTTATCATAATTAGGTCTTCACTTGTCATGACATGTCAGGGTTCCTTACCTTTTTACCACTAATGACTAAACAATGCTAACTCAAAGCTAAATGAGTTTTAGGAATAAATAGCAGGAGGTTCTGCTTAATACTATGATTCTTTAATCAAACATGGGCTTAAAAATTATAGAACCATTTCTCTCTAACTAGAATGATTAAAATACTACACCCCAGAGCTGGAATAATAGATGCTTAAAGTTGGAGAGAGCAACAGTTTGACTCCTATTTTGCTCTTTGGTTGCATGTGGTCTGGAAAGTATTGTCTTCATTTTCTGCTGTACCACCGCATGTGGCTGCTATGTATGCCGAATATGCCTCATTAACTTCTTTTGCTGATGAATAAAGAACATCATCAATTGATAGAAGACATACTCCTGTAGAATTATTTATACCACAGTTTGGCCTTTAAAAATCCTGACATTTTATCCTCAACATTAAATATCATGATATTTTGGCCTGAAGTGATAGGTTCAAGCTATTCAAGGTAACTTTTTTGAACATACAGTCCTTGAGCAAGTCACTTGAAAACACAGAAATGTCCTTTATCGATATTCTGAGTCCTAAAGAAATGTCTTTGTTTCTTATTCCAAAACTTAGGTGGGGACCAATCCCCCCAGACTACTTCAGTAAGGAAAAAGCAGTCTTGGACTTGCCCATTTTCCGCACTGCGCTGTTGAAACAGCATGCACTTTGTTGTTATCAATTAATACATTCCTGATTTTCACTATTCCTTCAAAACTTAATCAGGATTAGCAGGTTCTGTTAATAAGGCAGTGTGAACTGACATTCACATGCCCTTTCTTTCAGTCAGGTAACAGCACCCTTCTCGGTCACCCATATCCAATTCACCTTTGCCAGTCTAGATCAAGCTCACAAAAGTATTATTAAATGGAAAAAAACAAAAAAACAAAAAAACATCTCTTTTCCCGTGGAACGGATTTTCAGTGATAAACTAAAAAGTTATCAAGAACTTTCACCTCAACTAATTTCTTCTCTTTATGGCAGTGATTCTGCCCATCTAGAAGGTGAAATATCTGCTACTCCACATGCTTGCTCATGCTGTGCCACTGACATAAGATATCCTTCGGTTTCTTTTCACAAGGAAATTTTGCTAATAGCTTGATCTATTTTTGCTCCTCCAAGCATAGTAATTGTCAGAAATTTTACGGATGACTTTATAAGTTTCTCAGCAATTTGCATGACTAGTACTTCTCTCTGGTTCAAGTTTTGGTCCCTTCTTCAGAGATAAACTAAACGCAAATCCATTTCCTATCAGAAAGAATTATAATTTGTACTTGTTTTAGAAAACCTTCACTGGCTTAGTAAGCCACTGCCTTAAAAAAATTACATGAAGCTTTGATGGCTTCATGTCACTATTTGACATGGTTTCATTACAAAGGATGCATTGAGGATAGAAGGAAATGGATCACTGGTCTAATAATATCCAACTATCAGATATTCATCATCATATTATCTGTCCAATTTTTATTTTCTAGCTACTTGTACAAAAGCATCAAACTAAAAATTTGATGCTATTTCTCACCTCAGAACATACAAAATTCACATTCCATATTTGTACCAGAGTCATGTTGCTACTTAAGTTTATAATTCTATCCTACATTGTAGTACAGACGTTACTATTTCCATCACTACTCTCATGCTTCAACGAACTAGTTCTGAGCTACTGATTCATCTGGGATTTGGGGATCTAATTCAATACAATGGTAATCACAAAAAAAGCACATGTAACAACTGTAATCAATAATGTGTAATAGACCTTCGCTGAGTGAACTGAACATCTCATAAATGTTGGCTGAGACAAACAAAACATAATGATCAGTAGGAATGCAACAGGATATCTGGGGAAATGGTCATCAATCTTACATTTCAAATTTATAATGTGTATGAAATGCCTGCATGCCAGCGCATGGACACTCAAGGCCATACTCATCATCTACTTTGGGCCAACCTGACTTGGTGATAACATTATTGAATAGTAAAAAGACCAAAGAGGAGAAAAATAAAGTGATTCAGGGAGCGAGTGTCTCTCCTGGTGCGTGAGAACGAGTCACATCTCATAGACTGAGCCATGCCTTTGGAGGGCTGGGCCTACCTGAGGGTTCTCCTCCCGTTTTGGTTTGGGTGCAGCAGGTGGAGTGATGGTGCGGCTCTCTGTTTGTTTCTCATCTGTTTCTGTGTGGGACTTAATTGTCTAGGAGAGGAAAATTAAATAAAAATTCAGAATTCACTTTTTATTAAAAGAATGAAAACATAGTTTGACTGCAGTCAACAAGAATTCGAGAACAACAACATACTAAAACTGGAAACATGGTGACACAGGAGGTAATATGGATTTCATTTTGGAAGAAGAGAAAAATGTAAAGCCCTAGTTGAAATGATTAAATTGCATAACTAGAGTAGACATGAATCTATAAATACAACAATTTAAATCATGCAAAAAGAAAAATCCATGGTTTAATTTCTTTGTATAAAAATAAAGGCTACTCTCTCTGACTTTAATGTATTTTAGATTGTAGAGACAGTTTTCCAGAAGCAAGCCCACTCCTGTTACATATGGATCAAGCTCAAGTCCACAGCGTGCGTAAGATCGGAATGTCAAAAAAACCTTACAAACGCACTCTTCTATTCTAGAACATTTACAATCACAACCTAAGAGGTTGCAGAACTACCTTCATTTGGGATATTTAAAACCTGTCTGTATCATCCATTAGAGGAGAGATGCAATTGCCAAGGAAAGGTCATCTAGCAAGAGGCTGACATCCTGATTACCCGCAACCTCACCTTCCAGATACATCCATTCTAACAAAAGAAACACCAGTAGCATTATCATCTTCAAACACAAATGGCAGCTAGCAAATTGGTAGACTGGGCTTGCAGACTATTCTTATCATGACCCAATGGATAATGCATTTTATGAAGCCCTTTATAAATACTGAAATGATATTAGAGAAGTGGATATAAAACTGTAAACACAGTCTCAATTTACTTTTTCAAAATTAAAAAAGCAGATGCTAATGGTCTTTTTGTATGGCAACAACAAGTAATTAAATGAGAATGAAACTGTCTGATTCTTGATGGGTAGGAGCCAAATGAAAGACTTCAGTCCTCCAGGCAGGACATCAAAAGTTCGCAAAAATCATTATGTTGTGAAATATCTTACTAGATCTGAAAAACTAACACAATCACAGAGATCCTTCTCTCTCCTGTCCACTTCCATATTTTCCTTCTGCTTCTCATATTATTACTTCAGCAAAGTGTAAGCACCTGCTTTATCAATACTGTGGCAGCCATTGTTTTGGGGGCACAAATGCCGCCTTGCAATTTCTTCCCCACTGTCTGGTCATATTTCTCCTCTATAAGCTACTTAAGAACAGGGATTGTTCTACACACTTTCACACCCCTTTGTGTCTCGTACGGTCCCTCACGTGGAACAGGTAGACTGTGAAGAGATGTCGATCTTCCAAGTGGGGAATATGACCTCTCTATCTCTCTCTCTCTCTCTCACACACACACACACATTTTTGAACCAAAAAGGACACATTTACTCCATAAAACAAACCACCAAAGAGGGGGATCACAAGGGGAAAGTAGTTTATAGTGACATTTTAAAGGTCTTGGGTGTCCAGAAAGCTTA